TCTAAATGAAAAGGGACGCTATGGTACGAGACCAAAGGCGTAACTAGAAACTTCAGGGCCCAGATGCAAGAAACCTTTAAGGCCCCCCCACCCAAAAACTCCCCATGATTTTGATAATTTTTTTTTTTTAATAGTATGGCTACAAATCCCACAGTGGAGCCTGTCATACCAGAGGATGACATGCTGTGCGTCAGCAGACAAGTGAACGTGTCACAAATAGATTTTCATATGCCAGTATAGCTCTTATCAATCCCTATCAAGCAAAACAAACAAGACAGAGGAGACAACTGACAACGCCTGAACTTTCCCTGTTGTAGAATGAGCAGAATACAAAAGCACTTGTCAGTGGTCTCCTGTGTTGCTGCGGAAGAAGGCAAGAGAAGAGACGACTGACACAACCCCTATTTCTCCTGTTGCAGAATCCAAAAAGGGAGCATCTAAACCATTTTTTAAATCTTTATCTATTTTAAGTACCTGTGTAAACGGCAGAATGTGAGGCAGAGCAGTCAATAACATTAATTAGTTAATTATGTGGCAAGCCATTTAATTCAGTAGTAGGAGAATTTAATTAGCAAGCTAGCTATATTTGAGATTGCAAGAGAGAAAATGTGCTTCTATTTCATTTTCACCATGGAAAGCGTAGCACTTTGAATAAGCTGTTGATCATCCCTTTTGGTCTTATTCATTAAACTCTGAGGGGGTGATTTACCAACCTAAACACACGCACGCACCAGGTGCGTGTGCATTTTTACGCAGCAAAACGTATTTATCAATGTATTTACGTACGTGCGCGTCATGTAGCATGCGCCATAGGCTACACGCCGCTCTAATAGCGGCATGCAAGTCTTTAAAAGCATATTTCCACTAATGCCGTATATGGAAAAATCATGCACCTGATGCATATATAATGCTGCTTCACAGTTTAGACAAAAATGGTTAGCTCATGCATTTACATTCCTGCATTCATCAATGCAAGCAACACAACGTAGAGCTAATTTATACAACATCACCTTGCAATTCATGCTTGGCTTTGCACAACACACCTGCTGGGTGTGTACACACTACAAAGGTGTTTAGATTCCACCAATGGATCATGCTGGGAGGGAACACATTACAGAGCTATATACTTGTTTGTGGTGTGTTTATAAGGTTAGTAAATCAACCCCTGAGACTCAATCGCAATCTGATTCTTAATGGCTCGGCTCCAGTTCCAACTCCTGCACTGTCTCTACTGACCACGTTGCACGCTGCCTGGACGTCCTACAGTGGGTAACCCGCCAGCTCCCTTGCCTAATTGCCTGCTGGGAATTGGAGTTCCCTGGCCAGCCAGTGGCCACACCCCCCGCTTCTTCACCGTCCCTCTGAACAGCGGTCCACAAGTGTCAAAAACACAGCGGGCGGCAGGCAACATGAGGCGGGACCTCTTCTTCCTCTCTGCCCCCCCCCCGAATTGGCGGAATCCAGGTCACAAATGCAAACGCTGCGACCCTGTTAATTCCGCCAGTGTAGGAGACCCAGGAGGACCCCACTACTGACACAGAAACATAAAAAAAGCCAGATTGGAGTTTGCCAAAATCCTTTTGGGAGAATGTGCTGTGACGAAACAAAATGACATCTTTTTGGTGCAGCCCATCATTCTACTGTTTTTAGAAAAAGAAATGAGGACTTTAAAGAAAAAAATACAGTCCCTACAGTCAAACGTGGTGGAGGTCCACTGATGTTTTGGGGTTGCTTTGCTGCTTCAGGCACTGGGTGTCTTGACTGTGTGCATGGCATTATGAAATCTGAAGACTACCAAAGAATTCTGGGGTGCAATGTAGGGCCCAGTGTCAGAAAGTTGGGTCTCTGTCAGAGGTCATGGGTCTTACAGCAGGACAATGACCCAAAGCAGACATCAAAAAGCAACCAGAAATGGTTTCAGACAAAGCGCTGGAGAGTACTGGACTGGCCAGCAATGACTCCCAATCTGAATCCCATAGAGCACCTGTGGAGAGATATCAAAACAGCAGTTGGCAAAAGGAACCCTTCCAATCTGAGAGGCCTGGAGCAGTTGGCGAAAGAAGACTGGTCCAAAATTCCTGTAGAGAGGTGTAAGAAACTCATTGATGGTTACAGGAAGGGATTGATTTCAGTTATTTTTTCCAAGGGTTGTGCTACCAAATATTAAATGAGGGTGCCAATAATTTTGTCCAGTCCATTTTTGGCGTTTTGCGTGGAATGTGTCAGATTTGGCTTTTGTTTTATCCACTGTTTTGTGTCATATCAATACAAACAAAATAAATATACATGAAAATGCCGAAAGATTTGTAGATGCAACATTTTTCTGTGCAAAGTGGTGCATTATCTGACAGAAATGCAAGGGTGCCAATATTTTTGGCCATGACTGTATCTGCTCGATCAGTACAAAAATACCTGTTGATCTTGCCAGAAATCTTGTTAACTTCCTATGCTCTCTGCCTGTGCTGAGGTTTTATCATTTCCATATTTTTGGTTACCTTTGAGGACTACAGAACCCCCTCCCACCTATGTTCTGGAGAAGAGGGGGGGGGGTCTGTAGTTTTGTCCTAGGGTGACAATGCTGCTTTTTCTTAGATACAGTACAGGGAGCATTGTCATTCTAGGACTAGAAGTGTGTTACTGGTAAAGTCACGGGGTAAAAATAACGCAGCCACCACATCTAAGGATGATAAACTGCAATATATTACATTTTTGCTCTTGAGTTTAGATCCACTTTAATGTTATTTGCAAACTTGAACTCATTAATGATAATGATGATGACAAAGATAATATTGTGTAAGCAATCTGGATCCTCACGTGAAATTTCGTATGTAGTGAATACATCAATCACATAACTATAAAAATATCAGTGTATAGGTTACCAACGTCATCACTCCAGCTGAGCTGGAAGCGTCTTTTATTCCCGTTCCGTTATTGTGGCCACTCCTTTGGGACTGTCTTTTTTGCCTATGATAATTGTTGTGGGTACCTTTTTATTCAATAAAATTGGATGGTACACGCTGTGTGTTTCTGCTTGTCTCTTTCTGGGTTTTCGTTTATCCCCGTGTGCTTCTCTGAGTGGAACCAGTAATATTGCTGTAAGGGTTTCCCTCCACTTTTAAGAAGGGAACTGCGTTTGGAGACCTATAGTATGAACTTTGATGTTATATGGACTTTACTGTTCTGTTCACTTTTTTTGTGTTATCTGGATTCCCAGAGCCCAGCATGTGACTCTGAGGATTTATACACTGATATTTTTATAGGTATACGATTGCTGTAATCGCTACATATGGAATTGAACGTGATTTCAGCTCGGCACATTATTGTTTATTTATTTGTTTTCGTTCTATGATTATAGTGCCTAGTAGCTTTCACCTTATTTGATTTACTGGTGCAGATCATTATTGTATATAATCTAGAGTCTCACACATAATGCTTAAACTTTTCTACCTACAATGTCCAGACACCTTCAAAGATAAAAATTAAGGTAAACAGTGGATGGACGGGCAGAAGGACAGATGAAAGCAGAGATGGATCAGAGCTGAGGGCTGCCTGCATATAGCCTGGAAGCTAACACAGTCTAGTTGCACATGGTAGAGCAGCACTAGCTGTATGTTTAAAATAAGACTGGATTATGGGAAAGATTCACAGGAATCAACGATGGGCACCTGATGTATCGGCCAAAATTCGAGCAGTGTATGGACATCTTTACTTCCTGTTGTGTCATGGGATTGGAAGTGGTGGGAAATCTCTGCCACATACCATATGGAAAGACACCGGCACTCTAAATTGGTGGAAAATAAGTCTTTCTTGATGCATGTGTGTAGAAACACATAAAAGCGACGTTTCAGGACCGCGCAGGGTCCTCTTCATCAGACAGAACCATGTGATAAAGGGGACCCTGTGCAGCACCGAAATGTCACTTTTATGTGATACTACACACATGCATCAATAAAGATGTATTTTCCGCCACTTTGAGGTGTCTTCCCATTCTCATATTCTGACTGCGCCATCTGTTTGTACAGTAAGGAGTGCAATGGGTTCATGGACATCTCTGCCACACGGACACAGCAATAAAAACCCAACAGCAAGCCAACCCTTTCTATCCACACAAATATTTTTGTCTGAAGTCTATCTTCGAAGAGATGTGTTTACAATATATTCGCTTTCATTCCCAAAGATCTGAACAACTTCAAGGCCTGAGTAATGCAAGTTAAACTTTCACATTTTTTCTAAAAACATTTTAACTGTTTTAGTAATGAAATGTGCCTCTGCCCTCTACAGTGTGCACATGTTTCCTCTCCAAAATTCCAGATTTTGACTCTGTCATCCACCTCAAATACTGTTGACTTTATCAATAAACTTGTAGACCTTCCACCACGAGTACAAGATCATTTTCATTAACAGCTCTTAGTTTTGGAATGTGTCGTCTTTCAATATCCATCAAGCACCACCCATCTTTAAAACTCATCTAGGGTAACATTTCAGCACTTACTCTTACAGATGAAATATTTTGTATACACATTAAAGTGACATTAAACCCTCAGATTTTTTAACATAAACCAATACTGTAATGTGTGCCTTACTGTAATCCATGGTTGTTTCCCTTCTCTTTGCTGCTCTTCCTTTTAAATCCTCATGTCTTCTCATGCTGGGGGAGAACTTCCCTTTGCAGCTCAGGGCCTCTTCCTGTAGTGCTGGCTCAGGTTACAAACCTATACAAACGTATACACAGACACCGTGTATCCATTCCTGAGACAAGGCAGTCTGCTGCAAAACAGAAGTTCTGCAGAGCATGAGAACAGATACAGATTTAAAAGGAAGAGCAGCAAAGAGAAGGGAAACAACCATGGATTGCAGTAAGGCGCACATTACAATATTGTTTTATGTTAAAAAAAATCTGAGGGTTTAATGTCACTTTAACATTTCCCCATTTTAGATGTGTTATACTCACCAGACTTCTGTTTCTGTCAGATTGAGTTTCATCAATTGATCATTACCAATATGCACATATTTTCACCAACGCAAGGAAATAGACACTTTGATATTTTTATTATAATGTTATTTAATCAGAAGTTTGGTTTCCTCTAATGGAAACGGATCTCATAAATTATGAAGTCCACTCTTTTGCTGGTAGGTCTCATAAAACTTAATAAGTGAGTCTGGAATTCTTGGGGTGACAATAGTTAAAGCTTGCTCAAAATGTCTTCCCATAATGTATTGGGCATGAATGTCCTCCTGTAGAGCCAGCAGTGCTGCTTCTCGACAAACAGCGGTGATCTGCAAAAAATACATATTTTTAAATGTAATTGAATCGATTTAAATATGAATAAATGGAAATGGAAATAAAAAGGCAACATATGAAAACACTCTTTCACAATTCATGGACTTAGAAAATCTATTTCTGTAATGGTGCTACATAATATTAAACAAGAGGCTAATACCAGTTGTACACAAACAATTTACCAGGATAAGTTGACTGGAAGCCTGGCAGAGCTTCTGTTGTGCATGCCTTGCTTTGTTCTGTTGTGTTCTTGTTAGTACATGGTTTTCATGTATCTGTAATATTTACCCTTGTTTGTAGTGCTTACAATAAACTCTAAACACATGCAAGCTGTTTAATATTAGCTTGTGCCTAAACAGTGAGGATCACTTCGAACCTGTTTACAGATGTCAGTGTTTTTAAAGTGACAATCCCTTTACTGTTTCACAGGGCAAGGGCCTAATGATTGGCTGCCAGACTCAAGCACTTTCACATGGAAGGAAGTCATATGCGCCCACATACCTGGAAGCACCAGGTATTGTTGTGGCTGTGACGGACGCAGGAATAGCAGGAGAGCGCTGGTAAGGAATATAAGTGGTGAGGGGGGCCCTTTACACTGTCACTTTAACGCACAGAGGTATAAATGCCACCTAAGCCAAAGAGGAGTTCTGCCATTAACTACACAGCTGTTAGGAATCAGGCATACACTAAAACATAGGTTTTCAGTTTTGGATAGAGTAAGGGAGGGTTATGTCCCTGGTCAGCGTTTTTCCCTTTGTCCCATTGGGGACATTTCCCTTCACTTCCTGTCCAATAGCCACAAGAGAAAAACATCCCTCCAATCTTTTAGATTGTAAGCCCTCACGGGCAGGGCCCTCCTCACCATCTTGTCTTGAATTATATTGTGATTGTAATGTCTTCCTTATATTGTAAAGCGCTGCGCAAACTGTTGGCGCTATATAAATCCTGTATAATAATAATAACCATGGGGAAATCCCTGGTGGTCAGCAGGGTCACCAGAACTAGTATACCAATTGGAAGATTTCCCATCTATTTATGTTCTACGACAACCCAAAATTTGGGATTTTCTTGCACATTCAGTGATAACGTTGAGCGAGGGCGAATCTCCCTAACATGGACAGAGATGGCAATAAAAACCTGACAGGTGTTCTAATCCCATTCCGCTTTATCCAAATCTTAAAAAAAAAAAATGTTTTGGCTTCAGTTGCACTTAAATGTCTATTATTATGTTACTACATAGAAGAATCTCACTCCACCAGGGTTTTAGATGTAGAAATAGAAAATAATAACATTATTTTGCGTTGCAAGTATATTCCTACTCTCCGCTATGCAGTATTATGGGTTATCATAAATTTCGAAGAACTTGCTATTGGAACTTAATACATACAGTATGTCAGGGCATAATATCCATAAGAACCTGAACTATCCACACAGAAAACACAACACTAACTAGTATTACAGAATCACAGATCTTGTGAGCCAACCTGAATATAGTGACACCACAGGATATTTATAGAGGAGAGCACTGTGAACAGATTGATTAGATATAAGATATAAACACAATGTATATAAGAACAAGCAGTCCAAATATCACACATGCTATGGAATCAAGCAACTTTGTCTTCTATGTATAGTAATACATGGCTCAAAAAAGGCAACCAGTTTGGTCATCGCTTAGAACAATGGGGTCATCGAAAAGGATTTTCCAACATGCTGGACAATCTATTTATAGTTGATATCATATTTTCTTTTCTGTATAGAAAAGGCAATCAAACTGTTAGACACCTTTAATACGGCCAATCCGATCGGGTCCACCTGCCAGTTTTTCAGGTGGACCCGATCGGATGCCCAATGTAAGTCTATGGACAGCCATGTGTAAACGGACGAGAATCGGTTTACACCTGGTTACCCCAGCTCCGAGATCCATTTCGCCGGACCGGATTGTGCCGGATCAGGGGTTATCTGATGTAAATGGACATATGTCTGTTTACACCAGATTCCACATAGACCAACATGGGGGCCGGCAGTTTTTGTTTTTTTCTTCCATTGCAAGGTGAAGGAAAAAGCTGTATGAACACGGATGTCACAGTGCTGACATCAGCTCCGTATTGCTGCGATCAGGAGACGATCTGTGCATCCGCTCCTGATCAGCCCGCATGAAAGGGGTCTTACTTGCACCCATTGTAGCAGGTCCTGTGTCCACTTGTGAACACGTGGTGTATGTGCAAGGGCATCTGACATCTTTGTATCCAGCACACCACATGGCAACACATTTTTTATTTCATACACTGCCTTGCTGTGCACTGGAAAAAATACATTAGGTACATTTTTTCGGTATGTGGACATGTTAAGGGCCCATAGAAAATGAATAGGCACGTTCAACACAGTATGTATCAACGCACCAAAAACGCATGCACAAGTGTGAATAGGCCCTGAAGTTTTCAGTCCCCAGTTGATCTTGAGTGGTTCTGCAGTAGGTGCAGCAGAGCTGCTATCATTACTATATTCTTCCACTTGAAGAGGTCACTTGCAGAGTGTATATATGACATTGGTAAGTAACATCATAGTCATTATTGCAATTATTCTAATTTTATTCCAGATACATTAAATCATGTTTTAAAGTCATGAGCCTGTTTGCAGTTCTTTTCTGTCTAAGCTAAATCAGGAAGCATTCAGCTCTAAATAATTCCAGATTCAGAGCTTACAGCTCCGCTGCATGGGATCAAGGAAAACACATCTGGGGTCCGACGGTCTCCAGATATCACCAAAAAGAGCACCTGTCTCTACATGTGCACTGTCACAAAGGGGCATGCCAGCCTCCTGAGAACTAGGAAGTTAACTTTCTAAAGATACGTCTACTAGGGCAAGAAGATCAACATAAAGAGTGGAACAGCTTACATTCTGTTAGAGTATGAGAGAGGGAAACAAAATACTGGGCAGCATACAGTCTATTAGAATATACAGGAATAAGAAAGGGGGAAAAAAAAGACATTTAAGATCGAAAAGAAAAATGCAAAGATCAAAAAGTGAAAGAGACTTGCTATGTTTTTATAATAAAAATGTTTGGCTTCCTGAAGAAAAGACTTAATTCCTGTCCTCACCCGAGTTATACTTACCCGATCCTCTGAGCCGCCAGCTGTGAAAGTGCTCCCTCCAGCCCGTCTCCTACTCTGCAACGATGGTATGTCCCTCAGCGCCCTCACGTCCTATACACAGTGTATGGAACGTGATGACTCAAGGACCTTAGACCTGCAGCAGAGGGGAGCGAGGCTCAAAGGACCAGTCTAAGAGGAAGCCATCTTTGAGGATGGGGTGATTTTTAATTACCCTAGACCAAAACAAGCAGTTAACGCTTACAGTGTGGGGGTAGGCCCACTGCAAGGGCTAGTAAAAATAAATAAATCCTGGAGCTTTCTTTAAAGGCTCTTTGGCATAGGAGTCCAGGATTGTCAATGCTTGCCCCCACCCCGGCTACATGCACAGCCCCCTATTACTGTATCTGTAGTTACATATGGGTCAGCAGATGGAACCACAGAGTCCAGAAGGGCACCAGGCTTCCTGCATCTGATGTTAAAAATTCTTTAGCCCATTGCACTTCGAGGGAATGAAGTTCCGAGGCATGGGTGATAGGACAGAAAGGTATTAACACTTTCCTTTACAGGGAGCCATTTTTTAAAACTGACCATGGACTGCAATAAAGAACTGAGAAAATATAAAGAACCTCTAAAAAGGTGGCTGCTCTTCCAGTAATAAGATGGCTGACTTGGTGGAAGGGGATGGGAGCTTTATAAATGCCCAGACTAAACCTTGCCTTGATGGATGCCTTTTAAAGGTAAGATAAGTAAACTATGCTTTTCAAGTTTATTCGCCATCAGTGGTATAATCTTTTACATATGAATCATGCGCAAAGAAATCCTTACACAGCATTTGGTAAAAATACTCTTATGTATAAACTATTAGGCTTCCGCGTTTAAAGTAATACCACATGCAAATACACAGCTAGAGGAAGTTATTTTAGGGCGATAGGATTATTATGGTAAGTGCAAGCAGACAGATGGCTGATGTACTAGGTTTTATTCAGATGCTGTTAAATAAATGTTTTCACATTAGTGCAAGAGGAAACAGCCTGTCACCACCATTGCCAAACATAGTTTACACCGTATCATTTTATATTAATGGAGAACTGCCGGCAAGACACAAAATTAGGTAAGAAATATGTAAAGAGAAAAGTAGTATTTCCTGGTCTGCGTTTTGTTTTTGGATACACACTTTAGAAGACAATAAAGTCCCCAATGGACCAGTAGCAATTTATTAAGCCTTTCTTGATCATGATACTGCTCTTGATTAGTCTGGAGTCTATCTAGCCAATGCACACAGTAATGTTTCATTTCACACTGAACCTCCCAAACCGCTGTTAGCAGAGAAAAGTACGTAGCCGCAAAGAACATTTGGCCAGGTTACCGCTGCAGCTCACAGACAAAAAGACACAAAAAGGGAACATAAACTGATATTTTGTAAGATGACTAACCGCACTTCTCCTTTAAATGACGTGGATTCAAATAGTAGGCATTGTGGAAAGGGGATACAGCGGTTGCAAATAAGTAGGTAAAAGGTTTTTTGATTGAATTTTCTTCTCCCAGCTCCCACGCCTTTGGACAGCGGAAGCAGACCGAGGCTGGTGTCATTCTAAAGACATAAAGACCCATTGCTGTTGTGAAAAGGGCCCGCGGGATGAAAAGAGATATTGTCGTTTTTCAGTACAGCAGAGAATACAGTGATTGGTATTCACAGAGCGCCCATCGCTGTGAACCAAAAGACCAGCTGAAGCCTATTTGTTTGCCCATTCAGCATATTTTCTGTTTGTTCATTTGCTGTTGCCTTACTTATGTTGTGCTGATGGAAGGCAAAGCAGTTAAGTCGCATTTTAGAGGATTTAGCAGCATGTTTAGGAAGCTTTCACAAAAACATGCATGGCTTTAGGTGGCTTTGTCATGCA